TTTTTTTTTTTTTTTTCTTGAACTTGCACTGTGTGGTTTTATGTTCCGGTTCCCCCGAAAATGCAGGGTACCCGGAATCGCTCACCCCTAAAATCCATCGCCCTGTGCACATGGACCACTTAGGATTCAAATAAGTCCTATCATCAGGTGATCTCTTTAGTTTTCGATTCAAGGAAGAAGATGGCCTAGCGTCAGTCTTAGTGGATGGCCATGGATGTTTGGGGGAAAACACACCGTCTTTCAAAATTTGGTGGCTTGAAAGTCTTGTCTGATCTCCAAATCACAAAGGTCCTGGTTTTGGATACGATTACATGGTTTTTCCCTTTAGCATATGGATGCATAAGAGCTTGGGATATGTGTCCAGCATTGTAGATCGTTCGTTATCATGCAACAAATTGACATATGAGTTTACTCGGCTTGATACACCCAGTTTTGTGTGGAGATTGATGCATCCAAACCTATTCTATACAATTTATGCTTGAATACCATTGAGACTCAATGCGAGTTGAAATTGAGTATGAATGGAAATCAAGCGTTATCCTAAATGCTACGAGTTTGGCCACGTTTACCACCTACCAAGGAGGCACCAAAACATCCTAAGGCACCTGAGGAGGCTTCACCAAGTGTTCTTGACCGTCTCCTCTTGAGGCCCCAAGAAACACCCCCCCCCCGGTGAGCACTGACTCGCCGGACACCCTTCGGCCATAAACTTCTTTGGCTTCTAACCGGAGGAAATCCTTCCAGGCAATGCTCTGATTGTTGAAGATCATGATCCTTTGCTTTCAATGCCCTTAAAAGGGGGGCGCGAGCGACCAGACAAGCGATGATTCTTCTGTGGATGACCAGGAAGGGTTGCTAGCCATGGTATCTATTGCGTATTGCAACACGAACATTGAAGATGTCGAAGCGGACTCTACCTTGACATGGAGTGGCCCATGCTCTAGTCCCAGCTTTCTAGACCTCCAGATCTGTCGGCATCCAGGTAAGAATAGTAAGATGAAAGCGAGGTGATCTTAGTTTTTTCCTTTCTTTGTTCAACCTGTTGCTCCTTTAAGCTATGTGCTTTTTTGAGCTTGGGTTTGAGCCTGCAAGTTTTTTTTTTTTTTTTTTTTTTTTTTTTTTTTTTTTTTTTTTGGGCGTCTATGCCTGTTGCTTTTGCTTTCAAGCCTTTGTGCTCTCTCGGGCGGATGTGTCATGTTGACCCTGTGTGCTCTTTTGTTTGGGCCTTGACTTTATATCAACCTTTGTTAAAGAAAGCAATTTATTGAGCTTCTTGTGGGTGAATTTGTGGTTGAGTTTGTGGTGGTTATATGAGCCCTAGTGTGTTTGATGCACCCAAACTAATCAAAAGATTGTTTAAAGAACTAATAAGTTGTAAAGGTATGACATTAGTCATAACCAAAATAAAATGCAATTATCCAAGTGGAACATTCGTCACACAGATGAAATGCCTGTTCCAATCACATATTTTTGGAAAATAACTCCTAGTCACGCATTGCAAGTTGGAACGACATCGTTCCATGATGTCTTTCATAATTCTGTCCAAAATGAAGTAGCATCAGTTGAGCTAAAACTCATATCTAAAAGGAACGACCAAACTGAATGATTGTTCTGTCCAGTCGTTCCAAACATCTGAAGACTATTTGAAGAGGTTGACACACATATGCGAGCTGGACATTCTTGCAATCGAAAAAAGGAACGACCACGTAGGACGATCGTCCTCTAGCTCATTCCACATGAATGAGTTGTTCCATCACCTCGTTCATGGTTATGGAATCTTGACTCTCTTTACGATTTGAGAGGAACGCCTGTTCCATGAGAGGAAATATGTTCCAAGTTTAAGTCAAGATTTTAGACTTAGAGGATTCGAGCTGAAGTTAAGGTTGTGTAAACTCAAGTCAAGCAAGGACGGACGAATGCCCATTCCCAAGTTCTCAAGCCTTCCAAAAAGGAATGACACCATTTCATGAAGTCATTCAAAGTTCTAGAATTTCTGGATCTTAAGAGATCTAAGATGGAATGTCTGCTCGCCATAGGGGAATGTCCATTTTGATAGGGGAACGACCATTCCAAGTAAGGGAACGATCTTCCAAATCCTAAAACTCAAAGAAAGTGATTGGTGGTGTTAGGAATGCCTATTCTTGGCGTTGGAACGCTCATTCCTCTAGGTTTATAATTTTGCAAAAAGCTGCATAGTGCATTAAATGAAGCAACAACTAATTTATTTCAAGGGTTGGTGAACTAAACATGGAGTTTATGCAAGAGAAACAAGAACAAGGAAAAGAGAGAGAATAATGCAACAATCTTGGGCTATGCATATAGTAGCTCTTTAGTGTAGGTATACAAGATTTTTATACTTTTTTGGGCGTTTGGGCTATGAGTATAGACAACTCTTGTAGTCAATTGTGTTCTAGCTTTGCCCCTTGGGTCTGTCAAGGGTTTGGAAGCTTAAGGGTTATCCCTTTCTGGTTTTTTCTTTCTAATTATATTATTGGGTTATCCAAAAAAAAAAGTTTGTGGGTGTGAGTTGTGCTGGTTTTTAGGTGGGTTTGTGGCTGAGTGTGTGGATGAATTTTGGGCTAGGATTGTGGCTGAATTTGTGGTGGTTTGTGAATGAGTTTGTGGCTTAGTTAGTGGTTGTTTTTTGGTGGCGGCATGGAGCTAACTTTGTGGAAGTTCCATAGCTTTGTGTGTTGTTCGTTGCTTGGTTGGCCAGATTGTAGTTTTTTCAGTGTTTGATAGGGTTGAATTTGTGGTGGATTGTGGCTTAAAGAGCTTAACAAAATTTAACAAACCTAGATCACAGGCGTGTGTTTATAGGTATTCATACCTGTAGGGATGTTTTGAATTTTGTTCGAAAGTTTCCTTTTTGCCCTTTTTTTTCTTGAATAGTGTAAGGGTAATAAGGTCATTTAATATTTTTCATTTGCCTTGCACCAATGACGTTTTAACTGTACATACAAGTTTATTTAAGGCTTTTCGAAAATTATGTGTTGCTAATACTTAAATACTTGGCAGGGGGCGGAGAAAATTAACCCTCATCATTAGATTGAAATAACATTTTATGAACGAATTCAATATATTATTGAATTCGTTCTATATTATTGAATTCGTTCATAAAATGTTATTTCAATCTAATGACATATATATATATATATATATATATATTCACAATAATTAGCTAAAAAAATATGAATATCATTGAACTAAAAAATAAATTATTTTAATCTCACGAAAGTTTACATAATCTAAAATTGAGTTAATTACAATAGTCCCTTTAAATATGATAAACAAACAAGATCCCTTGAAATTTCAAAAATAATAAAAATCTCTTTGTTGTTCAAATTTTAGGTGTTAAAATATAGTTTTAGTAATATTTACTAATATATGATAGTATAAATTTTGACTATTCACCAACATTTGTTAATAATAATGTAAATTTTGTTGTTTTAAGAACAGTATATGATTTTTTCCTACTCAAATAATGATTTAATGATACTTTTCCACTCACAGACTTTTAAAATATTACTTTACTACCAAAATTTAGATTTCGATGATGAATAGAGAGCAAACTCGGTCCATACTGTTGGGGCTTTTGAAGAGAGAAGGCCGATGAGTTTTTTGGTGGTGAAAGGTTAGATTTTGGTGAATGAGATTAATCGGAATTGGTCATGGGAGGAGCGATTGTGCAAACCTTAATCGCTCAATTGTTAGAGATTGGCAGAGTGGGCGGGAGTAGGGTTTGAGGGGTTTTGGTGAGTGATGATTGGAGAAGAGAATGATGGTGGTGTGGGATCACAATGATACTGGAATTGTAAATGGTATATAAATTTAAATAGTAAAATGATATTTTAAAAGTCTATGTGTGGAAAAGTGTCATAAAACCATTATTTGGGTGGGAAAAAGTCGTTTACTCTTTTAAAAACTTGAAGAAAATGTATAAGTGATGTGATAAAAAATGAATGGAAGAGTGAATATAATGAGTTTGACCTTTTGTTTCACTCTTCCATTCATTTTTTACCCTCTCATTTTGTATGGAAATCTTTGTTAGATTTATTTGTAAATAGAGTTAATGACTTTTTCCCATATAAATAATGGTTTAATGACAGTTTCTCACCCATAGATTTTTAACATACCACTTTACCACTCAAATTTATATTTCGACAATGAATAGAGAGTAAACTCGTTCTAGATTGTTGATGCTTTTGAAGAGGAGAGACCAATGAGTCTTTTGGTTGTAGATGGTTGAATTTTAATGGTTGGGATTGATTGAAATTTGACTTGGGAAGGGCGACTGCGCAAACCCTAATTACTTGATTTCAAGCAATTGACAGGATTGGAGGAAGTAGGGTTTAAGGAGTTTTGGTAAGTGATGATCAAGGAAGAGAATGGTGGTGGTATGGGATTAGAACGATGCCAGAATTAGAAACAAAATATAAATTTAGGTATTAAAGTGGTATTTAAAAGTCTGTAAGTGGAAAAGTGTCATTAGACCATTATTTGGATGGGAAAAAGTTTACTCTTGTAAGAACATCTTCAGTGATGTTTTTTATTTTAAAAAGTATCTTTCATATAAATAGAAAACATTTTATTAATTTTTAAATATAAAAAACAGAGTTTTTATTCAAGTTTTCAATGGACTCTTTAAATTTTATTCAAATCCAAGAAAAAGACTTAATATGAGAGTGAATTAATAGATAAAATGTATTGAAATTATAATTTATTAATTATAATTAGAATAGAAAATGAAATTTAACTCTCTAGATGTGACAAGTCAAACTTACTATTTAATTTATATTTAAAAAATAAAGAATATCTTGAACTCTTGTTTTTATGAAAACTCTTTGTAATAAAGAGCTTGGATTATATAAAAAATGATTTTTCTAAGTATAGTATTATTGGTACGTTATCGTATATGAGGTTGTAATTTGATTATTTTTCAAAGCTACCTTTTCCATCTAGGGTTTGTTAGGTACTATAAATACCACTCCTTGAGTAGAAGCCATTCTCTCTTTCGTGTTCCCTATCCGCCCCTCTCCCGTTTTTCTTCTCCGTTATCATCCAATTCAATTACAAATGGCTATCACTTTCTCAGATCTACATACTGAGTCAGGCCTCAAGTCTCTTGACGACTATCTCTCCGGAAAAACTTATATTTCTGGGTTCGTTTTTCTTCATTTATTTATTTATTTTTAAATCCTCTCCTTTACTAAACCTTCAATTTTTGTTATTTGATTACAGGGATAAGATTACAAAGGATGACATCAAGGTGTACGGTGCCGTTTTAGAGAAGCCGGGTAGTTCCTTCCCTAATGCCAGCAAGTGGTACGAATGCGTGTCTTCGCATCTGGCCCCAACGTAAGTTTTGATTTTTGTAGTCTTTCTTATTGTAGTTGAATTGATTTGATAAATAGTTTGAATTTAGAAATTGAATTTGTTATTTCAGCTTTCCTGGCAAAGCAGTTGGTGTGAGAATTGGTGGCAAAGGTGCTCCAGTTGAAGCTACTCCAGCCAAGGTAATCATATTTTACTCAATTATGTGCTGGGGTCTTAATTCAATAATGATTCACTAGGTTACTCTTCGTTTTAGCCCTTTTTCTAGTTTAGTTACTATTATTATTGATTGTAGTCATCGTACAAGTTTTGATCACCACGATCTTGTATACATGTAAGTAAATTGTTAACAAAGTGAATCAAAAAGTATACATGTAAGTGAACTTAGTTGTCCAGAAATAGATAAAAGGGAAACCTAACTATAGGAGTGAAAGTAATTACAAAAGCTGCTCATACTGGTTTCTTTCCTACTTTTTCACCTAGTAGAGGGTCACAAGGTAGGGAATGTGATCTGGTGATTTGAAATATTTTTTCTTTTTATCAATGATAGATGGGGTCTTCTAGTCTTTCATCTATGATAGTAGATCAGTGCCGGCTGTCTTCTTAGGAATTGAGAATCTATCCCAAAGAAGTCTGACCGATTGGGATTTATTGTTTTCTGTTTGATACATTATGATCAGTAAATTAGGTGAAGGCATAGAAAGAAAGAGATTGGAAACCTCAGTTAACAAAAGGCTGCCTACCAGTGCTGTTGTGTATTATTTCTTTTTGGTTTTGTTAAATATGAGTTTAAGTTAATCTGTGGGTTATGCCGACCCTCATGTATGTTGAAACTTTTTTGAATGGTTGAATGCAAGTTTTTCTATAGTTTATTTGATGTGTAAATATGTTCTTTACTCACATTTGATTATGCCAGGCTCCTGCTGGAGATGATGATGATGATTTGGATCTCTTTGGAGATGAGACAGAGGAGGATAAGAAGGCAGCAGAGGAGAGAGAGGCATCTAAAGCCAAGTCTGCCAAGAAGAAAGAAAGTAATATTTCTTTACTTATTATTTTTTTTGGAATCAGATTGTGTACAAATGGAATGAATGAAATAGGTCCTCTATACTTGCGACATGTAGCGTATAGCATGAATGACTGGAATGACTGATGAAAGCGTATTGGTTCTTGCTGGCTGTAATAAAGAGAAGATAATGTTTCTCAATCATAGGAGTACTGAATTTCTTGACAACTTTTTTTTTTAGGTGGGAAATCTTCTGTTCTGTTGGATGTGAAACCTTGGGATGATGAGACAGACATGAAGAAGCTTGAAGAGGCCGTTAGGAGTATTGAGATGCCTGGTCTCTTCTGGGGAGCATGTATGGTTTGATTTACTTCAATTTAATTTTCTGTTTTCATTAATAATGCTGCAAATAATATCTAATCCGAGTACTTCTGCATTGAGTTTTTACAGCAAAACTGGTTCCAGTTGGTTACGGGATTAAGAAGTTGCAGATCATGCTTACAATTGTTGATGACCTTGTTTCTGTGGATTCACTCATTGAGGAACGTCTCACAGTTGAGCCATGTGATGAATATATCCAGAGTTGTGACATTGTTGCCTTCAACAAAATCTAAAAATCCTTTAACTGTACTTGATATAGGATGCTATTGCTAGACATTTTTGGCCGTGGTTTAGTTTTTGTTATTTATTCCCCTTTGGCCCCAGTGTTTTCAGTTGGTATTGTTTGCCAAATCATTTAAGTTAATCTAAACTATATTTTTAAATGGCTGGAGATTTTAGTTCTATATAGCTCAGGATGGTTGTTCTTATTTTGAAATTGGGATTAGAAAGCCTTATAAGTATTGCGAGGTGGGAACCTCATAACGAGTCTGTCGTATGATTGTTATAACTGAAATTTCATTAGCCAAAAATCATGTGACAGAATTTGTGTGTGAATTTTACCATTTTTCCAATGTTTTAGTAAGCAGTCTATCTATGATTCTTTGAATTTACATTGTCCTCTCATCCCACTCCCCTCATTGTAACTCTGAGATTTCTAATTTTATGATGTAAAATTAGAATATGATTTTATATTAATTCCTTTTGTAATTTACATGAAGACGAAGAAGAGATGGGACGCTTATTCACGGAGACGCAAGGTTTTGTGTTTATAATTGCATGAACCTTAGGTTGATCCAATGGTTCCTCAAGGCTCGAGGAAACTGGTATTAGATAAGCCATGTATCAGCACATTTATTTTTATGTTTAAAATTCATGTTAAGGTTGAATATTTACAAACATGTTTATCAAGTGATATTCTAACAAAGATAATAAATTGGTGAGACCTAAAATAAAATCTTTAAACAAAATATATTAAGTTAGTAGTTAAAAACCTTCCATCATTATAAGTTTGATCAAGTCACTATTCGTGTGAATCTTATTTGTTAAAGTGAAGGGTGTACTTCTACTAGTGAGAGGTTAAACTTTATTAGAGTTTTCCTTAATGGTGATTGTTGTGTGGTAAAAATCCTTAGACCGGACTAAGACAAGAACAAGAAGTCTAGAGCACACCTTTGTGTGGAGCGAGAATGAAGCCCAAGAAGCAAAGGAGCTTGGTAAGGAGCACGAGCATCCGACCTAGGCACAAAGGGACCCATCAGATGAAAATATCTTCTCCAAGCGGACATATCATTTCACCACGTATACTCTATATGCAGCGACCAACAACACGTGGCAAAACATAGTCTACATATGTTCTCCATGCACCTCAGCCAATAGGAGACTTGTACATACACCTATTGGCAGAGGAGACACCATCATGAGTTATGACATAGGAGCATGTGAGCCTCCGATTGTCGTACGATATTGACATCGTGGTTGACGTACTAGTCATCATGGCACTCACATACCTTCTCTATATAAAAGCCATCACAACTGAAAGCGAGTGGGGAGGCAAAAAGAAGAAGGTACAACTGACACATACAAAGTTAATCCTTCACAAGTGCACGAGTCGCAATTGTAGCATAGTGCACGAGTAAGGGTCGATCTCACAGAGATTGGAAGTGCTCTTGTGATCCTAGAAACTATGCCTTTTGAAAACAATAAGAATTGAAATTAAAAAAACACATAAACGACATTAAAGTAAATCTAAATCTAACTATTTACAAAGAATCCTAGGGATCTAACTCCATCATAATTATCAAGTTATGTGTTCATCATCAAACTATTGTTCTCTCCTGTTAGGGGGGTTTTTATAATATTTTAAAATTATAAAGGTTAATTTGTAATTTTATAGGGGTGTTTTAGAGATATGTCAAAAGTTTAGGGATTAATTGGTAACTTTTTTGGGGCATTTTGAAATAAATAAATTTTTTAGGGACTAATTTGAACTTTTTAGGGTAATTTTTGTAATATATTAAAATTTAAGGGATTAATATGTAATTTTTTAAAAATAAAATTATCGCTGATGTCATCGGTCCAACTGGTTGGGTTGGTTGACCCGTGACCTAGGCAACAAAACGGGTTGCCCTCTGATCCGAGTTTTAAAACAACGGTTCTCTTCACTCCATTCTAGGGTTTGTACATCTTTGGGTTAAACCTAGTACTTTTCATCATCTAAACTAGCTAGTGGCGTATATCCTAGTCCAAATAACGAAGGAACCAATTTGCATAGACACAAACCATCCATTCACAGAGCTAATCGAGATAGGCACGATGTCACTCGTTCTAAGGTAATACCATGGGCGTTGGGATTTAACCTAGTATTTTCATTAATCAAACTAGCTAATGGCGTATAGTCTAGTCCAACTACGAAAACCCATTAAGCACAAGACGATCTTAAAGACAATAACCAACCTATACTCGGGTAGGGCTACAAATAAGTCATTCCATACACAATCTTGTCTCATACAATCAATTAACTAACATCAAGGTTGATCAGGCCCAAATATCAAGTAAAGATTGAATTAAACGCAATGAATGAATCTAGAACATAATAGAATGTATCAAACAAATAGAATAAAAGTAAAACACAAGCCTTCAATTAGATTACATCATATCCCTAGAAAACAAACTATAACATAAAGGAAAAGAAACGAATACAATTGGAACCATAATCGTGAAGAACAAAGGAGGAAGAGAGGAAAAGAACCTCCTCTCCTCTCCAAGCTCCACATTTCCAAGAAGCCCCAAATGTAGTTCAATCCCTAATGTATAGTCTCTCAAAATGTTCATATCTGTAAAAATGAAATAGACTGCCCTTTTATAGTTTTTACAATGAGTGGCAGTTTAGTGAACACTAGTAGCTTAAATTAGGGTTGGAAATGCACTATTTTTGCATTCTTGGCGACTTGCGCCGTGGCTCGGTTTAATTGCACTACGGTGCACTTCTAGGCGATTTCTTCTTCAATAAAACCTTTATCACGCTGTGGTGCCATTTGGATTTCGTTGACATTGTGCTGCGGCACCAGATTTCTTCGCTGGGGCGCAATTTGGATTGCGCCGTTTTCTCATTGCAGCTTAGGAAATCATGCTTCGGTGTGAAGTCAGAATTTCACTCTTTTTCTTCTCACCTTGATTTATCTACACTCAAACGAGTCCAGGATGTCTGAACACCAGCACAAGCATGAATAATCCATTCTTTTGCACTTGAATACCTAAAAACACACACAACATCCGTGATTCCAAAAGATAACGAAACATGCAAGAAATTACATCGCAAATCATGCATTAAACCTTAAATTCCTTACAGTTTCATCCCCAAATCACTAAACAAATCAACATTTCCAACACTCAACACAAAACCCCTAACTAGCTTATTGCTAGTCCCTAGCAATGAAAGCAATATAAAAATAAAATCTAACCAAACTAAACTATCCTAAACCTCTTCCGGAGGTTATCATAATTGCCTTTAGCATATGCAATAAGCCTTTAAACCCATAGGTCCCCTTAGTGGACGAGTTATAGTCTCGTGAGGGTTTTCAGCGATGTTACCCACAAACATCCTACAAGTCCTAACACACATGTTTACAAAACAAAAATTTCCAGACTAATCAATAAATGTGTCTCATACAAAGCATACACATATAGCATAAAGAATAAGCAAAGATTACCCCCCATCTAGGAACACCATAAACATCAATTTCATCTTTATTCTCAACTCTCTCCACACAATCATACCACAAATCGTCAATCCTAGCCTTAGAGGTAATCTCATATGCAACTTCCATAAAGAAAACAAATTTTTGATCCCATAAATATGAAAACTTTAAAAACACAAACTCCATAGGCCTACTTTCTAGATCACTCTCCACTAATGTAGAACAAGACACAACTTCAGATCATTAGAGCTTAATTAAGCTTGTAATGTATGGCTAGGGTATTGGGTTAAGAAAGAACATAAGGGATTCAAGCAATTAATAAGAATAATCTTTCAATACAAAAGCATGATCACTCAACACTTATTCTCTCACACCCTAACCCTTTATATATATAATTTTTTTACAAATGATGCTTCACTCTCCCCAACCACAATCAATTTTTGTACTCTTTGCATACTTCCTTATTGATTATTGAATTGACCTGTTTTTTTTTTTGAAATAACATAGGAAGCATAGGTATCACCTAATTCCCCTTTTCCCCACACAACAACCCACAATTGGTCCTTTCAAACAACCTCACATAATTTCACAATCTCAAAGTCACACACATTTTTACTTTCATTAATTCAGATTAATCCTCTTAAAAGAGTGTCATAGGAAGGAAATGTGTTTAAGGGTTATATGGGACAAGTTATTGTAGGTAAAAAGAAAGAAAAATCATGGCTAAATCTTTACAATAAGGCTCAATGGGATGACTAAGGATGATGACATATAAGGTTGACTTGAAAGGCACAAACAGTCCAAAGATGGCCTAAGTCATTTCTTTAATCATGTGTCGTCTAGGATTTTGCCTCAAGTGATCATCAAATAGGTTCTAGAATTTTAGGGACCTCACAAAAATAGTAGGAAGATTACACACAAAATATCTCTAAATGCTAGAACTAACCAACCAAATAAACCACATCCCAAGAGTTTCAAACTGAAGCAAAACCAACATCTAGAATAGTTCTTTGACTAGGATAATAATTGACCTCTCCTATTCACTATATGTCATGCAATCATGTTATATCATAGACAAATGACATAGTCCAAGAAACACAAACTCCACAAACTAATAAATTTTACAGGCATGCATGAATTTCTTACTTTCCCACCCCCTACCAAAATCCTATATTGTCCTCAATGGAGCCATCAAATCAAAGCAGAGGTAAAAGGGAAAGAAATGAGTTACCCCCCTAGATCAACAAGACATAACATACTAGAAGCAACTCCAATGAAAGTGCATCCTGTAATCAACATGAAATCCGCCAACAAAAAAGAAAGCACAAATGGTGTTTTTGCAAGAGAATCCATGTTGTCGGTTAATCAGCATCAAGTTTGAGGAAATAAAAAAAAAAAAAAAAACATGAAATAAAATATATGAAATAAACAACTGAAGAAAAATAGTTTATACAACTCAACATACTAAAAAGAAAGCAATAAAGAAACAAAAACATAACATAATGAAATGAAAACAGGAAATCCATTAATCTTTGAAAGTTTTAATTCCTTTACCAAGTTCTTAAAACTAAAGTGGAATGGGATTTTAGTGTTCATTCTTCATCATTGCAAAACAACCAACCATGAAACAAAATAAAGAACACCAAAGATTTTTACATGGTTCGGCAAAATGCCTACATCCATTGGACCATGTCCAAATGAAGTCAATCCACTATGGTAAACATTTATAGTTCAATTT